TACGAAAAGAGAAAAGGCAGGTTTCCCAGATCGGGATAAAAAATTCATCACCGTTATAGGAACATTATCGAACTTATTAAAATTCCCAATAATCGAAAATGGAGTGAGAAGAATAAGGAAGATATTGATACGAAACAATGAGAAGGGAGATTTCCTAATCCAGGATAAAAAATCTATCACCATTATGGAACATTATCAACCTCATTAAAATATCGAATAATCAAAAATGAAGGCTAAGGATCTACGAAAGAAAAGAAAGGAGGTTTCCTAGTTCAGACGCAGCGGGATATTCGATCGCTCGGTTGAATAAAAAAAGTCTCTCTTCCTCTCTCTCTCTCTCTCTCTCTCACTCTCTCTCTCTCTCTCTCTCTCCTTTTTTCCTCTGCAGGTTAAGACCAAAGGGTCCGAAAATAGCCCATTTAATCCATGGGGCTCCTCCTACTCGGCGCTATTAGCCTTTTGCATTTTTCCCCTATGAATTCATCTCCGAAAATTAACAACCCAATTAAAGCAGCTATTAACGTCTCGGTATCTCATTAAACCGGGATCGTTTGCAACTTTTAATGGAAGGGGGCACCCGGTTTTTGTGGAAACTCACAAACGAAACGAAGCAATTCGAAACGAATTCTCATTAGAGGTAGTCCAGGCTCTATGATACGTTCTTATCGCTGTTATAGAATCGAGAACATAGCCCTAAGTCTCGAACACTGTAATTGATGCGAGTATGAACTCGATATCGTGAGTCACGTGTGCATACACGTGGTTATCACGTTTTAATGGTCATTAATATAACTTCATGCAACACCCACGTTAATCGTCATCAAGTGCCTTCCGAGAAGAAAGAAAAAGACCCGACTGGATTGGGGTTAGCTCTATTCATTGGATGCAACATAGTCACACTATCGCTTATTTTCATAAAATTCTTTTAATTATGAGAAATCTAATAGACACCTTAACGATTTGAAGAAATTCAAACAAAATCTACTTGATATTCATTGCTAAAGGGAGTAAAAAGTTCCTAAAAAAAGAATTTAATATAATATTAAATTGAATATTTTAAGGATTTGAAGAAATTCAAAGGAAATTTACTTGAAGGTATTCATTGCGGAAAAAATACAAAATTTCTCGAAAAACAATTTAATAGAACTTAAAATTTGTCTTGAATTTCTACGAATTTTCCCAATAATTTGATACTTTATACATACATACGTACATATGTACATACTTGTACATACGTACATATTGCACTACGTAGCTCTATCGTTGAAAAAACCTTGAAAAAGAAAGAACACCGAAGAATCGTGTCTGTAGCGAGCGTTTGTGGTCACTGATTTCACCCTGAAATTCTTAAGGTCACAACAACGATTTAAAAAGAAGGCACCGCGGTCGTTCCACAAAATTTAACGCTAAATATTTCGTAATTAATAACGCCGGCTCCACCGGTGGGAACCGGAGATTGCGGTTTGGTACTCTTGCTCTACCCATCATTCGCAAACAGTTCTATATCAGAGATTTTCTGGAGTCGAGCTCGTTCGATCGTAAAACCGCGAACGACCCCTTTCTTTCTCCGCTATTTCATTTCTTACTCCTCCGTTACCCGCCATCGTCCTCCGCCTTCGCCGACAACCGAAGAAACTTCATGCTTCCTCAAATGTGAAATCGACGATTTGAGACGTTTACGAGTCGTTCGATCGTGAACGCGTGAACCAGTGGAACGAATCTCGATGTTGCTTCAAATGGGACGTTTTTGCCAAGATTGTACAATGTTCCGCGATTCGTGAACAGACATTTGGGTATCTGTGGGTTCTGCGGTGATACTGAAAAAGAAACAAACATGTTGAAAAGTAATGCTTATACAGAAATTAGTAATTTATATTACTAAATTTAATTTTTCACTGGTCTTGTATAAAATATGGCTGTTCTGTAAAAAAGCAAAGGTATGATTGGCTACCCATTCATTCCCGCCTTTGATCCTTAATTATTACGTGTTATGCAAATTTTATCCTCCACGTGAGATCCATTTAGCTCTTAATAATCAAAAACTACGTAAAAATCGGGTTTTCTCATAATACGTTGCTGTATTGTTATAGGTATTGTTAAGTTATTATGCATAATGTATGTATTATATATTGTTAAGTTATTATGTATTAAGGTATGTGTAATGTCTATTATCTAATACATATTGTGTATTATGTATATGGTCATTGTGGTACTAACACTAATAACGGCAAGGTAGATATGATCTTAAACAAATACATAAATAAATAAAAGATGTCTTTTATGATGACAACACCAATATTTTCGAAATATTTGAGAGACTAGCAAAAATACCTACATACATATTTAACTTCAAACCAAAATGATACAGTATTAGTTAGCAGATTATAGAATTTTTAAATGACGTACTCCTATACAAATTTCTAATTTTATTGAATTTTAAAGTTACTCTTTTCTGGTTTTCATTTTTACTCAATCAATTACAATATTCCAACTTTACAAAAAAACCAATAAGAATATTCCAATCTTTTCTTATAAAACAAACAACACAAATTACCTTCGACAAATCTCCTCGAAATATCATTGATATAACACGACATCATATTTCACGCGATAAATTATCAGCGAATAAGTCCGCCGCCGCGATTGCACAACGATTTACCTGTAATCGCAGCGCACCTTCGCTTTGAAGCAACGATAAATCAAACCTACTAATCAGTGTCGCGGATATCTGCAACGAATTCCCATTAAATAGCGTTTATGGGCGTCGTCCATTGGACAATTAGCGGTAGTCATTAAGAGATACCTTAACTGCAGAATCGCGTTGCCTGGCTGTCGTTTTTTCCATGCGAAAGGCGTGAAACGCGTTGCTAATGGGTAGCTAGAAGTCAGGACGAATAATCAGTCATCCGTGAGATGCATCGTGGTTCTGATAGATATACGCGTGGCATAGTCCACGCGAGAATTATGTGAGCAATATTATATTTATCGACTAAATATCATTATTAAAGCAGGGTATTTCCATGCGCGGAAGCGCCATTTTTAAGATGAACATTCGGGGCAAAAGGTTATTTGAAATATGAAAATTGGAAATTGGAAATGAAATTGAAAAAAGGAGAAAAGAATTCTTTATTAATCTCTAACACTAAAATTGCTAACCCATTCGAGATGACTGGTACCAGATGTTTTACCTTGGCAATTTAAACACGACTACAAACATGTATTTATTCATGCACGTATATATTAATGTTTACTTTTATCGCGACAGGGATATGATTACATATATTTATTTATTTTCGTCATATTGTTGTCATACTTAGGGACACGTATCAAACAGGCGAAATGAATAGTATTGTATAGTATCCATAGCTCATAGTCATTTAAACGTTGTACATTTTGTTTTGAATGCTTTACTTCACTTCTACTCCAGAAATGAAGATTTGTTGCTATTGTTAAGTCACAAGTATGATCCTTTAGTGGAATAATAAACACAGCTTCCATTGCATTATTGTGCCTTAAATCTAAATTATTTAAGCAAATGTTCGACTTTGGAAGTCGTTCGAATAATTATTACCTGCGGTAATGTGCCTGCCTAACATTTATTGCTTTATATATTCGAATCTACTCATAATTCGTACCATCGGTAAAGTATCGGTATAAATCAATAAATGTAAAATCTGGCCAGAAATAAACTACTTTTTCTTTCATAATCTACATGTACTATTATTTTAATATCTTAGCGTATGCGGCCTCCGAACAGAAATACATCCTTAAATAAATTATTTATCGCAGCGACGCGCTTTCGAGCTCACCGTGTGGTTTGTCATTAACTAGAATTTTGACACGTTTCGTCTATTTTGACATGTATATGCGAAACTCAACAAGCCAATTACACTTGAGACCTGCTGATTCCGATGTTCATACTTATCGGCATCGCAGATGTTCGCTGGGAACTGAAGCCATTCACGGTACCCTGATTTCGAGGAACCACGCCGCTAGTTATCGTTCCGTCACTTCGATTCTCGTCATCGACTGATGACTGTTCAAGCAGGATTATCGACCGATCGTGCGAATTCTAGACATTTCAAAATAACTACTTTAGTGATTATCAGAATAATTGTGAAATACAGTTACTCGCAATAATATTCGAACAGGATATTATCTCTGTACTTGTTGCTAGGGAAGATAATTTAAATAAGAAGGGATGATTTAAATATGGTGTTGCTTACTCTGCGAAAATATGAACCATTTATTATGAATAAACAATCTCTTCTTGATAATAACATTTAATTATACAATAGATTTTTATCAAAGAATTGTCATAAAACTTTCATTTCCACGTCGCACTAATATTTGGACAGTTGTTTATGCTCTACGATATAGTAATTTTTAAAAACAATTCCATCAGCGAAATAGATTTATTTTGCATACTTAACGTCGGAAAAAATTAACACCGATATATGATATAAAAGTGATGTAATAATAGTTAACGTAAATAAAAATTACGCAATTATTATTACTAATTGCAGCAGATGTTATTAGAACACACAGAGAAGAGGACCGAATCGAATTTAAGAAACAAAGAGAGCAACCTATTTTTTGTTAAAGATATGTTGCATAATGAAATATATAGATATTAAATATAGTTGTTATTAGGAAGAAATCGTTTACGTATTTTCGAGGTACATTAAAGTATAAACAACACGCCTCTTATACGAACCAACAAATACGGTAGGTATTAATGTAACTTGCAATTTATCGTATCACAACTTCTACTAGTCGATTTAAATTGTATGCGCACAATTCAAGGCTTCGGAGTTACTAAAAAACAAAGTACATGCAACTTGCAAAACTGTCGCGAAAGGAAAAAGAGGTTCCGATACGATTACTCCGATGATCAACCGAAGGATCAATTAATTTTTTCCCGTTTATCCTAACGGGACCGTAATCGCATCGATCCATCATATTTCAATTGACCCTCGAATTAATATGTCACTTACGAGGCAGAAGGCGAATCGAGCCCCGTTTCTGGCTCGCTGTTAACCCGTTAAGTCGTTAAATAATCAGTCAACAACACGCAAGGAACCAGATCACAGTCGACGTTACACAAGTCAACGTACGAGTTGATAGTTGCATTCTCTTCCAGTTGTACGCACCTGCAGACACAATACTATTTATTCTATACAGAGGCTCACGAAAATACAGTAGATAGAGTACAGTAAGTACAGTATCTTCCATATATTAGGTTGTCCGGAAAGTGTCTTTCTTTTATAAACATCTCTTCTACAACAACGCATCTTTATACAAACATGAAACCTAATCAGTCGAACGTTGTAATCTTTATCTTGGTAGAACAAAATGGATCATACGTAATTCGATAAAATGATATAAAACGGAAAATGTTATGCATCCATTATTTCTTTATAAAACAAAAGAAACTTTTCGGACGACCTAATAGATACTAATTAATAGGAAGATAAAAATTTTCTAATAATGAAACTTTCTGATAATAGAACGATCATTTTTGTGATATAAAATTTCATTTGTTCAGATAAATGTCAAGAAAATTGTTAGTTTGTTTTACTTCTAAAATAATCTTAATCATCATCCTCCAATCATTCACGATGCAATCTTTTTCCCATTCTAAAATTCCTAGGAACATTGAGGATATTGAGAAAATATAGAAATGCGCCACGATTTTTAAACAAACACAAATATACAGAAAAACGCGTCAAAATTTCGCAGAAAGAATAAGAAACTTTTATATAAAAAATTTGTCCGCCAATAACGAAGCACACGTTTTTGTAGCCAAAAACACCTCTTCACGGTATGAAAGTGTTAAAAGTCTGGCCACGATTTCGGCAAGGAAACGGATTTCGTAGCGAGAGAGGCGCGAGGCGACGCGCTCGACGCGGCTCGTTACCATTCGGGTTAATTGGCCGGCAGTGGTTGAGCCCGAGTGGGTGCAGCCGTGGTTATGCCCACACAAGCATGCCGCTAACGTAGCCTGTTGTGCCCGGTGTTGTTGCACTCGCGACTGCCTCGAACGTGCTGCAATTATTCGCCGCAGTTTCGCGTTCCGCTTAAGTGTCACGGTGACGCGCTCCGGCTATGCCCTCCAAACGCCCGATGCATTCAGGCCTCGCTCGTTACCTCCACCTTTCCTCCCCCTTTTCTCCCTCTTCTCCTCCCTCTTCGTTCTTCCACGCTTCTTTCCTGTCTTCCTTTCTTTTTTTTTTTCGTTCGTTTCAACGAAGAACGAAAGCACGTTGACTGGTTCGAAAATCGGCAGGGCATTACGCTTCTTTCGTCTCTTTCTTATTTCGTGCTGCTTTGCTAGCTCCTTTGCATAACCACGTCGAACAAAGGAGTCACTCGAGCGACCAGTTCACAGTCGAAAATTTTTGGAGTCGGCGATTCTTTCCACCGTGACGAAAAAAACAACAGGGGGAAAGGAAACGGATCCTACGCCGCTTTTGAGAAACGACGCTCGTCGACAACGCTATTACGTGATCAACGCTCGTGATTCTTCGCCGCGATGCGCGCCGATCATCGAGCCAGATACTCGCTCGCATAACGCGCCGCTACCGGATGCAGCTGGCACTCACACGTGAAATTTCCTCGATCTTGGATTTTGGGAATTCTTGGAAATTTTCATCTTTTACTATTGGAATTAATTAATTCATTTTGGGAAGTGTATTAATCAGCGTCTTTGTTCAATGATTGTTCACTTCTTCCAATTCTAATGTGACGGAATGGATGAAAGATTACATATATGTTGGATATTTTACCTAATCCCGATATTTCAATAATAAATCATGGTTTTTTCAAGCTATAAGTGTAAGCAAATTTTTTATTGATAAGATTAAGAAATACCTTTATTTTTTTCAGACTTTTTAAGAATGGTAATCCTAAGGTTTGCAACTTCTGATATATCCAATGTAATAAAATTAATTTCCGATTTCGGACTAATCTATAATTATTAGATATTTGTCCAAATTCATGTTTTTATAAATATAACAAGAAAAATGAAACTCAGCTAGGAAATTGTCTTATTTACTAAATATTATAGAAAGTACTATACTTTGGATATTTTACGTATCTTTATAGATATTATATGCATCTTTGCATCTTCAAATTTTCCATAAATGGAAAATTAATTTTATGCTTATACATACAATTATATACACTAACAAAATTCTATCTGACTAAAATTGTATAAAACGTAATGTAATCAAACTGCATATTCATCCTTGTTAATTTTGAAAAATAAGACAAGTTTTCCAATCGAACTAATAAATATTAATAACTGTGTTCTTTGTATATATATATTAACGTTCCCACTAATCTGTAATACTACCAAGAAAAGGAATTAAAAAGTATTATCGACTATAAGGACAAGTGATTAACTCCAATTTTCCTCTTCCATACACGGAATCACGAGACGAAACGACGCGAGAAGAGTCACGTGGAGCTCGAACGATCTGACGTCTGACTCTTACTAGCAAAAAATGCATGAACAACGCTCGGCACGATTGCCGCGCCGGTTTTGAAGGATCGTGGGTGCGCCATTGGGATCCGTATCGGCGAAGCAGCTTCACCTTCCGGAACCCGACGATTCGCTCGACTAGCTCTGTTAATCGAAAAACGAGCGAGAGACGAAGAGGAAAGGGAGCGAAAGAAAACCATTCGGAATCACGAAGTCGAGAGGTCAGAACCGGGTCGACTGCCACGTGCCCAACATGATATGGAACAGAGTGCATCGAGTCCCGTTATTTTCCTACAGTCTGATCTATCATTTTTCCCCCCTTTTTTATTGATCGATTGAACGCGAATAGAATTCCCGTTACTGATTTAAACGTCATTGAATCAAGCAACGTCTAATTTCACTCCTAAATCGTATTCTTGCGTACATAGCTTGTTACGTTGTTTATTTGCTGGATTTATATCAATGATTTTTATTAAGATATCATAAACTCGCAACTTTTGTTTGTCTATTACATAATGTTTTGGGTATAGTTAGAAATACTTATTGTATTGTTATTATAATTTCATCAATTATCTTCATTTTTTGTTTTGTGGAAATAAGCTACTCGAGTGTTATAATATATTTGCTAATGTTTTACGTTATTTATTTGACATTTTTGTTATGCAGTTCAATTGAATATTTTGTGGGACAATTTGTGTATATCGTGCATATCGAAGCGTGTTAAACGAAGAATTCATTAGGAATTCATCTTCACGTGTGAGATATTGGAGCTAGGTTGCTGGAACAAATAACACTTCCAAGTATTTTTCACTTACTTGATTCCTTAATTCATTCGCTTGTATCGTACTACTTAAAACCAAGCGGGGGATTGCGTGTCTGGAGAATATATAACTTGTTGAAGTTACGAGGATTGAGTAAATCACCAGAGCAGTCTCTTATCTAGACGATATTTTCGTTGTAGTTCCTTTATATAAAGAAACATAATAATATAAAAATGAAATAGACGCGTAATATGTTTTGCATAAATTTTTTTTCGAACTCTTAATTACAATGTAGTTCTGTTAATTAGTATTTTATCATAAAGGAAGATAGATCTTCCTCTTATTTGAGGTAATTTAAAAATTGATGATTATAATTCACCAGAATTACTTACACGATGTATAATTATAATATACCGTCTGTTTCATACGAATGAAAAGATAAATAACGAGTAGAGGATCTACATTTGAAGGGAAATACCGAATGGAAGTGCAGACAAAGCGATCTTCACTTTCAGACGTCACTTTCAGCGGCCGTTCCGACTACTGAGTTCGACCGATGCGATACGCCTAGCTGCTTAAAATTCACACCTCGAAGTTCATCCTGCCCTGTAACTTTTCCCAGACCTAGACTACCATGCCTATTTGCTTCTCTCACCACGGAGCAACTATATCTTTTGGCTCTTGACGAGGACGGATTGGAAAAGCACGTGATAGGATTCACGCTGCGACTATGCTTACATGGCAGGATACTTTAGTGATTACGAATTTCAACCGTATTATTGGTATATTTCGTTTTCTTACGACCTTTCGATCCACAACATTCTTGTCCACTTTTTTAGGGCAGACCTGAAAATAAAGGAAAACGTGGAAACACAATCGCGCCAATAACACGATTGAAACCTAAAAAATTACCAATATGTTATATAACCATCGTGGAACTTAAAAATCTAGAAAACTTGACTATACATAGCCGATGAATCGTGTGTACTTTTGAGAAAAAAAATATTGATTCTTTGAGAGAAAGTGGTATATTTGATCGCCGAAAGATTATTTGCTTAAATCATTTTTCTAGGCTATACTTGACTAAGTAGTTAAGTATCGCCTATTGGAATGAAGATAAAGACGCGGATAATAGGAACCTTTTAGTGTTTTTATTAAGTTATTAATATCCTTTTAAATCCTTAACAAATTCTTAATCCGGTCCATTTTTGGGAAACTATCATGCACAAAACAAGAACAAAGACCTGTACCTAATCCTGATAATCCTATGATTTTAAAGCTTGAAACTCGAACCATAAACATGAAAAAGGAAAGCAAGTTTTCATTCATCTATTCAATTTCACTAGCATTTATTCTTTATATCAACGAGCTCCAATCGATATTCTACGTTCTACATCGAACAAAAATCTTCCAGATACAAAACCAAAATTCCAAATTGAATCTTCTAACTTTAATTCAAATTTCACACTTAGTTTCTCATCAATTTCGGTCACGCTCCAAGAAAATCAAGAAAAAGATCTGCTTCTATCTACGTAAGTACATACTCAGTCCAATAATACCAAACAAAGGCAAACCATTAGTAACAAGGAGCGAAGACTATGCTAATGATCGCGGCACACATTCCTGTTAACGCGTAACTATTCGTTTTCGTATGCCCTGTACGCATCGTACCACTCGTATATGCGCGATCCAGGCTTCCCAGGGCTATGCACAGATCGTGTACGCACGCATGCCTGTGCGTACGTGCACGCGTGCAGCACACAGGTAACGTTCGGCTCGTCACTCACGTATGCAGATGCGATAGACACGAGAGATGGTCGCGATGACTGCGTCATGGACGGTTCCGGCTAGTGGTGCGCAGTTCCCTTTCGGTTCGTATTCTCTAACCGCTCTCTCTTTC